CGACCTCCTCTGATTTTGTGGCTCAAGTCAAAGACACATTTCTGCAGTTTTGCATGCTAAAAGTAGACCAATAAGTGTTTGTTAATCATTTCCGTCTTACAGAGAGCTGATCTCTGCATCGCCTCAAAGAAGGTGGAGCTGCTGGGAAAGAATCGCTGCACTTGGGGACCAAAGTACTGGTGCAGGGACGTTCAGACTGCTAAGAAATGTGGTGTAAGTTTTCATCAGTCATTTGCCATCATCTGAAATTAACATGCAATAACACGTAACATCTGTCAGACTCTTAAATGTTAATTGTTAGCATACATGTGTATAGTGGAGATAGAAAGAATAAATATAAATGCTTCTTATGCATGTGTCTGTACAAACTTCACACCGCCCCTGAATAAGTCACTGCCCCAGTTTGACCGCTGTGATGAAAAAAGTCTGGCTCCGCCCCTGAGTAGTGTTAAACAACTAAAGAAGGGAAGGCAGGAATTTCTAACTCTCAAGGAAATGTTAAACATTTAGACCATAACAAAAGAAATGTAAGAGGCATGAAATTCCTTTTATCGCTCCGTAAAAAAGTAGTAACACCATGAACGCACACGGGTCTCCTACCCCGTCTGTGCTGATCACCACTGTTCCTGATTGGACTGATTAAAGTCATGCTGTGGTTTCCAATGTTTCACATCCTGTTTTGTGTTTTGATCTGCAGAATCAGGCCTTCTGTGAGAAGTTCATGTGGAAGGAGTGAAAGCTCGGGTCTGCTCTGAAAATATATCTGCACTTTCAAATAAAAATGTTATTACACTAATCAACGATTGAGTTCTACATATATATGCACTGATCAACTTTGATTTCTTGAGATTAGGATCTTGTTTGCTTTTTTTTTTTATAATTAACTGAATTGAGCCATAAATGAATGTCTCGTGATTTCCTCCAGCTTGCATGTAGTGTCATAAGACTTGAGGCTGGAGTTCAGTCTGGAGGGTTTCCTGTTCTGTGCACTGTGTCATTCACTAAAAATGCTTCAAATATGTTTTTGTGAATGTGGAAACTGTAAGAGCCGTTGTCCATCTTCACATAAGATGAACTTTCAGTATGTAATAAAACACTATCGGACAACTGACCACACAAAGAAGTGTCGCTTCTTTTTTGAACTTGTTGCTGTGGGGTTTTTATTTGTGCCTTCATTAGAGAGATCAGAGACTGGATAGAGTCAGAAATCAGGGAGAGAGAGAGGATGGCATGCGGGAAGAGGGCACAGGTCAGATTTGAACCCGGGCCGCCCGCCTGAAGGACCACACAGCCTCTGGCACCCAAACTAACCCCTCAGCCACCGGCGCCCCTGTTGCTGTATTTTGACTCAAACACTCTTGAATAATTTCTATAACTCATTTCAAATCCGTAACATTTGTAACTCATATTCCACAACCAGAAACACGCTGCTTGTTTGTTTTGGAGCTTGTTTATTTAGAAACTTCCACAAAGTAAAAAGATAAAACCAGACATTTACATTGATTTGAAACTTTGAGAACAAGTTTTGTCACACTCCCTCTGTATGCTGTGTTTTTTTCCCCATTGATTAAATAACCCAGTTCATTTCCAAAAGAGGGACAAAGCCGTTATCAGGGTCGCTCACACACTGAGGAAAATGCTGCCTCACTTACAGCCCTGTGTGGTTGTTTGTGTCATCGTCATCATCGCCTCCTTGTCTCTTCCAGATCTAAGAAGAGAAGGGAAAAAGATTTTTGTTAACTAAACTTCACAGTCGTATTGAACAACGATGTGAAGTGAGATCAGATTCAGCTTGTACTGAAAGCTGCTGACGTCGTCTTCATACTGAAACTCCTGATAATATTCAGGTTAACATTAACTAATTACAGGAAGAATTTAACCCCTTAAACACCAGATGTCATAAAGTGTCATAGCAGCTCTTCAGGGAGGAATGATGCAGCATTAACTGAGGCGTAATGGTGGGACGAATTGACCCCTCCCCCCCTCTGTACCGTCTTCAGAGGTAGTAACAGAGGCTTACAAAGACCATGATGACAGCTGAGCTTAGTTAAGACACTTTTGGAAAGGGAACATCTGAAAATGGCTTCTTATACATGTTTTTAAATATTGGCTAACACTTTCTTTACCTCAGCCCAAACTGTTTTCTAACAGATACAAGTTATAAACAGGAGTCAGTTATTCTTAAAAAGACAGTGTGTGAAATATCAAATACATCCTATCCACCAGGCCGAGCCAGGTGCTCGGAAAAAATGGAAGAAGAATTGATAAAACCAAAACTGTAGATTAAAACAAGACAACGAGACAACTATGTACATCTCCAGCTTTGGTTTCCTCACCTGCATCCAAAAATGTTTATTTTTTGTCAACCTGAGCTGATCTCAAGATTAAAATGTCGCCAGGGAAGCAAGGAGGATTTTTAAGTTCTGTAGAACTCGTTTCTGCTGTTTCTCTGTCACCTCGGACCTGTGCAGTTGCCGTGCGCTCTCCAGAAGTGCAGCTGCAGGCTAAAGGAAAGCTGCTCTTTATCATTTTTAAATATTTCATTTGGAAGTAGACATGGAGAGAGAAAACAGCAGGTGCTAAAATCACAGATCCTCCTTTTGACTGAGTGCTTTGATATCACCAGTATCTTTGTTCTGTGAAGAACAATAGTGGAATACTTGTTAGTTTATTTTAAATCACTAGCTGCTCCAGAAGAGTAGACCTTCTTTACCCTGTACGTTCATGGCAGTAAAGATGGCGCACGTACTCTGTTATGTTTGTTTCATACACTCTGTTTTGTGTTTTTTGGTGAGTGTTGTCTGTTGGACAAAAAGGAATTTCCCCAAAGGGAAAATAAAGTCTAAAATAGTCTACTACTCAAATATCAGAAGCCGCATTATAAAATATTGAGGCACAAATATGTTTCAAATAGCAGCTGATGAAAAGTGAGTTTATTCAAGCCTCTGTATAATTTTGCAACCTCAACAGAACGAGCGGGAGGACTTACCTGGATGTAAGCTTCGGACAGTGTGATCATCTGGGGGAGGATATCGGTCACCTGCAGGTCCTGCATCTCGTACCACTTCCCGGTCCCCCTGATCAAACACAGAGAGGTGTAGTGAGGAATAAACACAACGCTGGCTTGATTTAATCACAGCTACTCGCATTGTTAAGAATGTTTGCAGCAGGGACATCAGAAATCATGGAAATATTTGTCTTCAACCTACATGATGAAGAACATGTATCCTGTACGCTCCCTCGGTGGGTTTCCCATCATGCACTACGTTGGCGACTAGGTCATAAGTTGTGTGCTTCTCTGTAACTTGAGCTTCTTCTGTCAAGTACTCACGAAGGTCGACATTCCTGTTGAAGCAAACACAAAGTGACTTCATGAACAAGTGAATATTTAAAATAAAAAGGTCACATATTATCCAAAATCCACTTCACCATGTTTTTCTAACACTAATGTATCCCTAGTCTGTCTACAAACCCCCAATGATGAGAAAAGTCCATCCTCTCAGTCTTCTCCCTGCTCCACTTTTCAGAAAATGTGTGCTCAAACAGGCCGTTTGGAGATTTTCCCTACATGACATCACAAAGGGCAGTAGCCCCTCCCCCAGGTGGGTGACACTCCCACAGCTAGGTGTTTGTTCTGCCCTCTGAGTCTGCCTTCTCACTGTAAACAAAAGGACATGGAGCGAGAAAGCCTCGAGTACACCCATGTCCTCCCAGAGAGGGGGCGTGGTCAGACACAGCTCATTTACATATTTAAAGGTACAGAAACAGTCTGTTCTGAGCAGGGCTGAAATAGAGGGGTTTATAGACATGATCAAATACAGGATCAGAGTGGATTTAGAACAAGAAACTTCACACCATGTTTTGAGGAGCTCTGAGACTTATTTAAACTGGTTGAAGAGGAAGAGAACATGAGACCTTTTACAACAAAATACACACGCCTGTGACAGCACTTTTCAAAACAACATTACACATGAAAATGATAATAATCATACTTTAAGATTATCAGTTGGGATGCACCAATGCTTAACAACGATATCGGCCCTGTTGACACATATCAGCACATCTGCAAATAATGTGGCATGAACTGATGTTTGTCTGTTGTGCCGTATAAATGTAATGCTGCTATCTAGTACACCTAGCTGCTGATTCAGAGAAGAGCAGCAGAAATCACCTGTCAGACAAACTCTGTTCTATTTCATGCTAGAACACAAGTACCAAACATCAGTATCACAATCAACAATCGGCTGCATCCCTAATTATCCGCATGTACCTAATGTACTTAATCTTTAGTTTTACTGACATGAACAGCACTCACGTGATCGGGAAGTTAACAATGGTGGGGTTCTTTTCCACAAAGAAGTTGTTCTTGGTGAATCTTTTGATGCAAAAGACGAGGTATGGAGGCAGTTTGGTCAGCTGGAACTTTTTGAGGAAGTTCTCTTTGTAGGTTTTGTATTCCTGAGGTAGGAAATGTTGCATTAAGTCATTTTTTATACTTTGAATTCATCATGCACACACACATATATATATATATATATATATCTCAGGATAGAAGGTGTGAGTGAACTGGTACCTTCTCTGTGTTGCCATTGAACTTGCCCAGGATGTTGAAGAGCGGGACCTGGGGGATAATCAGCTGCTCCTTCTCGTCCTTGTAAAGTGGAGCTGTCGGGAGGTCGAGGGTCAGGAACAGAAAGGTGGACTCAGACATCTGCTCCTGGTACTCCTCTGTTACCAGCAACGCCTCTTTCTCCTCTGGTAGCTGGAAAACAAGACCATGAAATACAATTAAAATAAATGAGGACGAAAAAAAACATTGTGTGGTGTCAAAGGATTGTAGGGAGGTAAACTTACTAAATCTGGATGTGGAAGTTTCTTGGAGAAGATTCTCATAGAGCCTTGAAATGCTTTTGTAATGATTGCTATGAGAGCAAAAAAACAGAAAGAAGGAACAAAAATAAGATTCACACTTAAACTGTAGACTGTCTCCAAAGCCTTATTCACACATGCACAAAACTTTCACAAGGTCTTTTGGGTGAGGTGTAAACACTGATTTAATTCTTAATATCATTCCCCCAGAAACACAAGTAAATAAACTTTATTGGGATCGAGTGCAGCTCTCTTTTTATTCACAATATTACCTGCTGACGAGAACGAGAACTACCGTTCAGAGTCCACAGAGGTTCGCGGTACACACATATATTTGCAGGTTTGTAGCGTTCCTGTGTCTCTCTACCAAATCAGTGGACTGCTGTCTGCAGAGAGACGAGTCTCCCTCATGCAAGTCTGAATCTCCTGAATCACGCCCCCGTTGCTTTAACCACAACATAACTGTCTTCATTTACTGAGGTTAATATAGCATGCAATGGTTAAGTTACACTGAGAGCGCCCTCTGCTGGATCAAAATGCAAACTACTTCAGACGGCCTGGAGCGCTGATAGAGTGTATATTTTAAATTTGAACGTCTCACTACAGTTTGAATGTGAACTTCCTCACCCAGGTTCGAATTAATGATCAAACTTCAAATAAAAAATAATGATAGTCCTCATGCAGAAGCTTTAATTTTGAACCGGCTTACACAAATACTTTCTACAGTTATTGTAGCATCGTTAGAGAAATCTTCCTGTGGTGAGGGAATCATGTGAACAAGCAGCTCAGGAAGATTTCAGGGGCAGATGGTCTGAATATTTCAGGAGTGCACGTTTAAAAAAAAAGGCTCAGGTGTTTTATTTGACACTCGTAACATTAGTGTACTCTTCGGTATACTTTGAATATATCAGTAAATTAGTAGAATATCATATGTTCTACTTACAAGGTTTTTTCTTTGTGCCTCCCAGAGCGCCATGCAGAGCATTCAAGAACCACGTCATGAAGTCGACAGAATCTCCTGCAGAACAGAGAGCGATCAGTCAGCACCACACTCTTCATCTTCACAGTGCAGCATGTCTTAAATCCTGCTTGTGTCATGTACAGTATTATGGGTTCTGTCAGCTGAAGCGTTACCTTGCTTGGTAATTTGGAAGTTCTTCTTGCTGCACAGCACCACGGCCTGCAGCATCTCGTGCGGTGACACATGAGCCTTGAAGTTTCTCGGATTCCAAAGTTTGCGCATCAGCTCACCGA